GATAGAATGAAAAAAAACTAGTAATAAACTAGCAGATGAAAGTGCACAAAAAGACATATCACAGCTGCAAGTGCAAAGAAACACATAGCAGCTGCAAGTGCAGACTATAGAACCAGATTCCATCAATGGAAATGCATTCCAGGAACCCATTCCCGGCCCCGTAATCCCGGAACGCCATTCCAGGTTGCCAGGTGCAGCCCAGCAGGAATCTTCGCCTGCGTTCACGGGAACTCTTTAACGTTTCCTGTTCCTGTTAAGCTATTCTAGTTCAAACTAATATAGGCTAAAAATATATCATAAATTTGTGAATTGGAACTTGTGAATCAATCTGATGTTAAACGATCTCAAAACACAGACTTTACTAAATATTTATAACCACTTCAAATATTAGGTATAACTTCACATTTTTTCTGACGACTTATACTGGAAAAATAGTTAGCAAAGTCCTTAGCACACGTGAACGCGGAGTGTTTGAACCCTTGTACGTAGAATAATTCTTTAATAATATTACAATTAAAATCACTGAAATATTTTCAACAATGCGGTCTGTCGCTCTTACATGCCAATGGCTTTGTGAAAGCTTTTCTTCTGAGGTCGAAAGATCAGAGTTGGTAAAGGAAGCTTATTATTTGATCTTCAGCTTAAGAATAGATTTCAAAAGGTTCTTTGATGATACCATATCATCTTCATTTTTATTTTCGGCCAATAATGGCACCTGTCAGTGGATTTTTGCACGTGAAACGTTCTTAAATAATACGACTGGCGTTTGCATAGGTAACATTGTTGAAGCTTTTCAATATCGACCCTACTATAAAGACTCATATGTAATTGCCTACGGCACGAAAGCTTGTTGAATACTGCTCAATAACAATGAATATTGAATCTTTAAAAATATAAGATTCAATGATAGTGAATCTCCAATAACCGCTGATTTGAGATGTTAAATATGACAATAGAATATTTTGAAATACATGTATTAAGATAGCTTCACTTCACCTTAGTTTTGATTTGAATAGAATTTTCATGATACAACAATAATAAACATAAAAAACCCTTCGCATTTCAAATGCTGGAGCTGAAGATATATAATTAGGGGCTGAGACTTCGAATGCACGTTTATTAATATCAAGGCTTAAACGAATACAAGTTTATAAATATCAATGCTTGAAAACATTCAAAAAATTAAATTATTTACATCATTCTCTGTAATTAGAGTGCCTTCTAGGTATTTAATTTGTGCCTGTAAGGTTCCCTATAATAACTTAAAGTTTGTTAGGCATCTGAAGGCTCAAATCTCTCGTAGGAATAGCATTAAAATAATTGTTTCCAATTAATGTCCACGAAATTGGTGGTTACCCAGTGTCATCAAAATCATATGTTATTTTATCCAATATTGAGACATACATTTCTATACATGGATATCGAATCACCATATTAAGTTATAATTTATTTTAGAATCAACACCTATAATTATTTTCGTATAAATTACTAATAAAATTATTTATGAAAAGTTTACGAATGAATGATGATCACATTTATTAAGACTAGGAAGTATCATTACAATAATCTAATTTAGGCGTATCGTTACATCAATTAGGACTAGGTCAATAATTAACAAATGTCTGCAGTGTTTATTTATCGTACAAAATCATCCACGCACTTCGAATGATACTAATTTACTCAAATTAGTCACGATATATCACCCTATTAATTATTTACATTATTAATTACATCCAACCTTATTATTACATCGTACTTACCCAAGCATTTCCTAGTGTATTCCAAGCGCGAGTTTTTAGCAAGACTCGGAGCTCGTTATGCCAGGCGTCTCATTAATTATGCGGACGGTAATTCTCTGTACGCCTAATTCACTTCATTGTTTTGTTTAGACGTGTAAGATTGCCTTGATTAAAACACGGCAGGAAGCGTTCGTTGTAAGGGTCTTGGTATATGAGAGTCAGGTCGAATTAATTTAAATAATGGTCATTTCTGTGTAGTTATTAATTTGTATGGTTGTTGTAGTGGTTATTTTTGTGTAGTTGTCTGTGTAATTATTAACACGTTTGTGTTCCGCCCTCATGTTGCGCTCTTTAATATTGTTGGTGGCAACATCGAGGTTCATGTAAATTAAAGGAAAAATTAAGAATGTTTCCTCCCATTTTTGAGCAATATAATTCTGGAAATTAATTAAATGAGTAAAAATTTGATTAGTTGATATTTCACTTGATATTTTTTTTGTTTTTCAATACCATGTTTAGGAAGATTGAGTATTCATTTTATATTATATACTTTCTTCTATATTTATGGTATTAGCTTCGTCGCAGTGACTTCAAATACTTTTCAGATAGGAAATTTTTGCCGCATTTACCTGGTATCATAAGAAAATTTTTGGCATTTCAATTTTATTGATAATATTCACTGATAATATCAATAACATTGTTAACTTATAAAAATATATATATTTATCGTCAGGTTTTCGCTCCGCCTTATGTCAAAATTTGATTTTTCTTTGTAAAATTTTGTCTCCTCTGATTGGCTAGCGTGAGAGTAGGCCTGCGCAGGGGGGCGGAGTTTCAAATGAAGGCCTCAAAAATATTCAACGTGGGAGGAGCAGTAGAGGTTACTTAAAATTATATTAATTCGGGAAGAATAGAAAATCAAGTGTAAAATAAGAATACCAAATTTCCGAATGGAATTGGCCTGAAATAAATTTAATTGAAAGGAGCTTACAATAAAGTAAATTTTAGAGAAGACTGCAGAAGAAGAATTTTACATTGTTATGGAAAATTATAGAAGTTGCCCCGTGTACTTTAACCCTTAATTAGTACACGCAGCCGACGGATATTTTGTTAAACTCGATGTAATTGAATTTAATACATTTTTCAAAAATAATTGTTGCAGTACAAAAAATCTTGACTAATTTTTCAATGTTCGACAATGAGTGCTCTATAGATTAATTTCAAAATAAGCTGCGTAAATGTGACAATAATGGCATTGTATGATAGAGAAATTCGTTTTCTGATGCGATATTCAAACGGGTATGCCGTTTGAATAAATTAAAAAGTGTATAATGATTTCACTGATATACCTAAAAGGCCAAATTTATTTCATGTTACCATGCGTGCTACTGTATTTTTACACACAACCTAATTTAATTATTATTTATTGGATAGTAATATCGCTGTTTCAAATTAAACTAGAACAAGCAAACTCAAATAATTTGTTATTCACACACAATGATTAATGTGTTCGGCAGATTTCATATTGCTACACATACAATGTACAAGTGTGTTCGATCAATTTTTTCGAATAATTGTTTCTTATACTGTTGTACACGGAACCAACTTGAACAATTTGCTAGCACCAAACAATATCAAGCGTGTACGAACAATTTGTTATAATTGCACAATATTAAACGTCTGCAAACAATTTGTCATAATTGTACAATATCAAACGCGTTCGAGCAATTTGTTATAATTTCACAATATCATACAAACGAGTACGAACAATTTGTTTTTGCTACCAAGTTAACAATTAACGAACACGAACGTTGAAGACGCCAATCGAACTCTTATATTTCCTATCCTGTCAGTCATGCAGCGAAAGCTTAAAAAGTAAACGTGATTAATTGGGTCGATTTATTCTGAATAGAGATATTCAAATATTGGTCAAAACATCATTTAATTGCCAATCAGGGCCTCTTGACTCGAGTCAATAACATTTATTATTTAACCTTGATTGCATTCTAGTTTCTTGTCTTCATTATTCCTCCATGAACCATACGTTCTATATATAATTGTATATTAAAACTAAATACATAAGTCGCTTGAAACTGAAAATAAGAAAGGGGAATACTAGAAAACTTTTCTTAATAATATTGAGGCATCCGAGTTTATGCACCACTTTCGGTTCATAATCTAAATTCATGCTTCATGTTTTTTAAAGTTATTTGTGATTTACAACGAGTAAGCGCCACATTTAAGCTACTGTTCACTTTTTAGTTCAGCAATTTTTGAGTTATTCTTTGGTTTTATTCCGCATCGTCGCGTGTGGTAACACATGACGGAAGGATGGTGGAAAAAGTCTGCCGCGGTTCACAGGCAGTGCAAAGATCAAGCCCTAACTTCCATTGTGAGCTGAGAACGCCAGGGCAACCACCAACACGCTCAGTGTGACTCCGACTGCCATATGGGGTGCACGTCGCGCGTGTTCGTAAATGCAAAACGCTGAGGGAAATTCAAAGCTCGGACATCGAAGGAATGAATCACGCTAGGTTTAATCTTTGTCAAAGAAATATCTTTTAGAACCAAAACTGAACATTTTGATGTTATTCTGCAATTTTGAATATTATAATGTACGTCATAGATTTATTTTCCGCAGAAATACTGTTCAGTTCAGTGAACTGTTGACAGCCAATGTATTTAAATCACGACTTAATTTTCGTTGTCTCTAATAAAATCGTTTCATTTCAGCAAAAGTTTTCAACCTCGAGACAAAGCATCCGGCGGCTATCAACTTTTGATGCTTGCCTCTTTTAGTGTAAAGTATTGCGAAAAAATATTTATTTTTGGTCCGGACGTACGCATCGTATATATTCTTGAACAGCTCCCAAGCCCGGACAATCTATTTTCCCGGTATTGAACAATCATCATTTAATTATTAACAAGCCAAACATTTAAAGACAATTAAAAGTTTTATCAAAACAGTTATTCAACGATTGATAAATAACAATAATGAGATTATTCTTCATTAGGCTTGCGGAAAAATATTATTTGGTACGCGTTGTGACTTGAGATAAATGTGGATAGTTGGTGACGTAGAAAATCTGAGTCGTTTACGGTTTTTTGAAAACCACTGAATCTCTTACAATTATATAGTTTCCCTTCACTTTATGAGGCTGAAGCAGAGTAATATATTTTATCTGTATTTTTATTATAATTTAAAATTTAGAAAATTCATTGATAAATATTAGCAATTTTTCAGAGTACGAACTAACATTCGATAAAAAATTTTTAGGAAAAATACTAATTTAAAACGTCGTCATTAGGATGTTGTCGATGTTACCCAGTGGGGGTGTGGAGGGGTTGGGGGAGCCCCGTGAGGTGAAGAGATGTGAGGTGTATGAGGCTGAGGATGAATACCTCGATGTTGAGGAACATGAGGAAGATTGTGAGAACAGGAGTGAGGCTAAGAAGGTAAGTTTAACAATCAACATATGCATTAAAAATCATTCTTTACTCATAAATTATGAAATAAATTTCACTCATAATTTATGAGTGAATAATTAATTTATGAATAATTAATAAATTAATTTCACTCATAAAATTATTTTTCCTGCACAGCTAACATGTTTATACGCTAATGTTCAATTCATGCTGTAAAATACTACACTCTACATTGACATGCAAGTAAATTAATGTTTATTGGCTCGTTTCTATATACTTCCCAAATATTTGAGACACAATAGACTCTTAGGGTCCAATATATGAAATATTTATTATGGAGAAGAACGCATTGTACAAAATACTGTAGCGTGTGGTGTGAATTTATTCGGACATATTAGTTTGGAGAAAAACATAGAACATGAAAAATACAATATGCTTATATGCCCTGATATCATTTCTGAGTACATATTTCTTTATATTGTTGCAAGTAATAAAAATAATATATTAGTATGTATTTCTTTGTATTATATTTAAAAACCTAGACGTTTAAACCGTTTAAAAATCTACCCGGAATTTTCTTGCTATAATATTAATTATTGTGTAATATACAAATATGTCTATGCACAAATAAAAATATTCACAATTACACAATACACGTACAAACATAAATATTTTCATGTGAATGTTGCATGAAAAGATGCATCTGATCATAAATACTTGCCTAATGTTTGAATTGATATTTATTATGTTAATAATAATAATAATAATATTTATTATTAACAGCAGAGCAGCAAACCGGTGATGGAGAAGCGACGTCGCGCGCGCATCAACTCCTGCCTCGACGAGCTCAAGGCGCTCGTAGCGGACGCCGTCAGCGCTGACGTGAGTGTTGTGTGGGGTGTGTGGTGTGTGATGTGTGGTGTGGGGTGTGTGGGGTGTGTTGTGTGTGGTGTGTGGTGTGTGGTCTGTGATGTGTGATGTGTGGTGTGTGGTGTATCGCTTGTGGAGTATGGTATGTAGTCTGTGGTGTGGTGAATGACATGTGGAGAGATGATTTTTTTAGCGTGTGATGAATTGCAAGCAATTAAGGGAGTAGCCGATCACACGCTTGTGGTGTGTTGAACTCGACAAGTATGGCGCGCGACAAGACACTCTTGCTTTTTAACGCATTTTCTCATTTATGGAAAAAATGCACTATTGTGCTCGCCATGTCCGTCTGTCTGTCTGTCCGTTCGTCCGTGACCACAAGTTTTCGTCGACGAGAAAATGCGCTCTCTGTCATTCACTGCAGTGAGTACTGAGTTATATTTTTTTAAAGTTATGTTTTGAATTGCTACTTCGTTTTAGAATAATTACACTCATACAATTTTTTTTTGTTGGAAGAGAAAATTCCAGTTCTTGATTGTAACTGAAAAATCATTTGCAAACTTGGTCATTACCTGGAACCCCACGTTTCCTTGATCCTGAAATTTTTTTACTCCTCTGACTTTCGTTGTAAAATTTTGGGCGTTCTTTTTTACAGATAAAATTTTTGCCATGATTTAATTTTTAATTAAATTAAATTAAATTAAATTTTTTTCTGAACTCTTCTGATGAAATCAAATTGTTATTTTTGCTTTCATTTCAATTTGATTTATTCATTTGAATGCGATTAGAGGAAAATAGAACTGAGGCTGTGCAAACGACAGACCTTAATGTGCGTTTCCTTCTATTTTTTTATAGAATTCATACAAAAAAAAAGAAATTATACTTAAGTATATTCTGATAGTGTAAATAGTTTTTGTAAAAAACTATTTAACAGTTAATATTAAAAGATGAGAGCAAAATTTAATCAAGCTTGTTCAGAATATAGTGAAAGTGCGTCAATAATACCAAACGAGCGTCATCGATAAGAATAGTGCGTGAGCGAATGTCGAGGTTAACCAATCATGGACATCCGAATGGCCACCGATGAAGCGCCCATGTTTTTGTATAGAACAATAAATCAGGAGCAGCTGCGACAGAAAACAAGGAACCTTTATGGCTTCCTTCCTGTTCCTGTCGCTCCCTTCCCGGTAACGCATTCCTGACGCATTCCTGATAACATTCCTGGTCAGCATTCCTGACACTGATTGGCACCTGCCAGTAGCAGCTGCTGCCGGGAATCGCTGCCGATGTTGATGCGTTAAAATCATTCAATTATTCATGTTAACGCTTCGATTTCCAATCAATATTTTTTAATTGTTATGAATGTGTTCATGTTGAGCCGACATTCAATGAAATTTTCAGACATGTCTAAATGTTATCGTACGTCTATATTTAATGAATAGTTGAGTAGTGGAATCCCATATATAGAAGAATTCTTATACAGCACAGAAAAAAGCACATAAACGTTTGTGTTTATTATAATTTTGATCAGCTAATACCAAGTTACTGACAGTTTAATATCTACGCTGCAAATTTTTTAACTTGATAATCTAATTTTAAATACGATTTGTATTAACACTACTCGTTATGGAATGAATTTATTTTACTCAGTACGATTAGAACTAATACGAGTACTACCCAAATCCATTTATCTTGAAACTACATCTTACAAATTTGCACAGGTGTTTCCATTTAAATATCCTGAAACATCTTTACGTGCGTTCGTAATTCACCACTGATAGGGATGACCTGAACGGGGATGACATTAACTTCCAATTAACTTTGTGCTCGCTTGTATATAAGCTCGCATTATTTTACTTAATTGGGCTAGCTCATTAATTAGATTATCGTGAACTCGGCTCTAGCTTAGCTTCTTTATTTACGACCTTCCATATTATTAGCTTGTAAAGGCGCGTTTTCAATAAGATATTAACGACCGGCAGTCATTTAAAACATTTTATATTTAGATAATTAGTGATGCTAGTTATGGACGCTAATTGTGACTGGAAAATATTTTACTATACTAAATGTTTTCTAATACACAAAAAAATAAGTAACATTTCTGTTGTATTACTGAAATTTCGAAATTGGACAATTCCAAAAAGCCAAATATAAAACTAAATAAATACATAATTAAATACGAATATGCATAAATAAACAAGTATATAAATAAATAAGCAGTAAGTAAGTAAATAAATAAATAAATAATTGAATGAATAAATTGACAAATAAATATATAACTCGACTTAATTATTAAATCATTAAAAAAATTAATATAAATTTTCACAAGTGAAAGAATATTCGTGTTCATCCAATATTTTTTATTATATGTACACTAAAATAGTGTTGTATAAAGAAGTTGTTTCCCATACAATTCTGTCATTTGTTTCCTCATTCATTTCCTTTGACTCCTTCCCAAACTTAGAACAAGCCAAGGATGGTAAGGACTGCCAGAGTTTGGCATTATGTAACCTTGAATATTTTTGAGCTCCAATTGTTCCCATATTAAATTGTTATATGAAAATGATAATTAATCTGTAAGTAATTTTAAATATAACATTTTAAACCGATAAGCAAGTTACAAGAACTTTGAACTGATCCGGGAGTTTAGCATCCCCTAAATTCCAAATAAATTTCTGCGTACATTCCGTTTTCTGTGCACATCTGTGAGCCACTGCGTTTTCTCGCACGCTTTTCAGACGCGCGTCTTCCTTCCCTTCAATTAACGTGTGAACTTTAGCCCTCGGCGTCACCCCTCGGCCCCAGAGTGTGGGATATTTCCCACGCATTGCGTTTGTTCCAACATACCTGGCGGTATTATTCCTGTGAACTGCGCAGGTGCTGCATTCCTCGTGCACACGACGCATTCCTCTCTCTTACACCTCAACATGACTTCCTTTGTAGTGAGGAAATACTTCTCTTTCATGTTCCATGCTGCTATAATAATTCAGGTTGAATAGAATCTTAAATATTTCACTAAGGAGTTCCTTAGATTGCATCATAGAGAAAAGCAAATGAAAATCCAAAGTTGATTTTGCTTCTGAGTTGGAAAGAAATTGACCTAACCCTTAACAGAATTATTTCTGAACAAAGTAATGTCATGGAGATTGTAATGCAATTTAATTGATTTATTGTTTCGATAAATGAAAATTTGATTCAATAAATCGACTACTCATTCTTTTACAACTAGTGAAAAATTAAAGATTTGTTAACTGAATTGAATAATTTATGGTATTAAGAAGTTTAGTTTGATTTTTCGTTATTTATTACTGTGCATTATCATCGATTCCTCCGCTCACGTAGCTAATTTTAAACATTAATTAAATGGAAAGAGATTCAATACGCTTGCAATCCGAATTCTTGGCATTTCTCGAATCATCAGTAAATTGAAGAATGTATTTGTGCGGGCCCACGGCACGGCGTGTAAGCGTGTTGAGTGATTTCAGAAAAAAACTTAATTTCTTCTTACGTGTGTCAGTATTTAGTGGAAATTAACAGGTTTTATTCCTATGGATATCGCCTGACATTTAGTCAGGCGATCCTGACTAAACGTTCGAAACAGTAAGTTCTCAATAATTTTCCGACATCCCCCGTCCGAATTTTTAATTTCGTGCCACAATTTTCTAAAATTATTTCAGTTTGACGTTTCCGAAGCATATGTAAAAATGATGCAGCACCTGCACATTACTCAGTTCTAATATCGACATGAAAAATTTATTCCGCCTGGATATTTCTTGCAAATTCGGCTTAACGAGCAAAATGTTCATCTTTATGAAGCTAAAAATTATTTAGCCAGACGTAAATTCGCTCCAGTTCTAGCTATATAAATTTGAATTCATCACATTTCAGAGAACGGTTCTACAATTGTATCCAACGAATAGGGTCCGTACACACTATTTCGGTTGAGCTCAATAAATGGAATTCGAATGCCTCCACTAACATTTTATGGAAACCAGAAATTCTCTTATTTTACTTGAGAAAACCCCACACAACTCTCCTTAATGTGTTTATGTTCTATTTACGAACGGAAATTTATTTCCTACACTTACTAAAATTACAGGGTCATATTGTCCTAATTCCGACACAATCCCTGCCTGTAGCACGGATACGCATTATTAGCAAGGCCAAACTGCATTAGGATGACCCACACATAAGCAAAAAGTGCATATCCATTTTGACAAAGTCTCACTCATTTCACTGGGTGTGCTTATGAGCCCAAGCATTGTAATAGAAATTTCCCTTGCTGCATTTTAAGCAAATGTTCGCAATTTGCGCAAGTCCCCCCGCTTTATGTTTGCGGAGTTCCCATTACGACGAGACGATTGTCCCCTCGGGATAACCTACATCCAGAAAAATGAGTGGCATAAATTGGGACACACTTTCTTACCAACAGCACGATTAGAGAGCGGACGATGCACTTATACGAATTTTATCCGGGCCTAACTGCTTCAGGATGACCCACGCACGACCAAAAAAAATGCATCGTTTTTGACAAAAGCTCACTTATTTTTTTGGGTGCAGAGCCATCACAGCCCCGCAAACTGCGAAGAAACTTGATCATCACCGCACATTTTGTCGGCTGCGCTCGCATTGCCTTCGTTATACGGAGAGTTTTATGTTCGTTACGCCTTCCTTATACGACTTATAGGATAGTCTTGTATTTGTTAAGCATTCATTATACGACTTATAGGATAGTCTTGTATATGTTAAGACTTCGTTATACGGCTTGTAGGATAGTCTTGTATTTGTGAAGCTTTTTACTCGAGCAGCCGAACATTAAAAAAAATTCCACTCATTCCTCGACATTTCAAAATTCCTCAATTACCTTTTACTCTGTAAATTTTCATAAATTACCATATGCTCCAGCAGCAGGATAAAATATAATCCAGTTCACTTATCGATATATTTATTTTATACGGAATATTTTCATTAATTACCCTCTGCTCCAGCAGCAGGACAAAATATAATCCAGGTCACTTATCGCTATATTAATTTTATATGGTAAATTTTCAGTAATTATGCTCTGCTCCAACAGTGGGACGAAATATAATCCAGCTCACTTCTCTATATATTAATTTCTCATTAATAAATTTCTGCTGTTACAGCCGACGCGCGGCAGTAAGCTGGAGAAAGCTGACATCCTGGAGCTGACAGTGCAGCACCTGCAGCAGCTGCAGCGGCAGCAGCTCGGCGCTGCTGTGGCCCGCGACCCTGCGGTGCTCGGCAGGTTCAAGGGAGGCTTCGCTGAGTGCGCCCACGAGGTGTCCAGGTGAGTGCACTCAAAGCAATTAGTGGGTCAAATTGTCATATATGTAATGATACAATTTCCACGAGATGTCCAAGTAAACACATGCTCAAAACAATTAGTGGGTCAAATTGTCGCACATGTACTGCAACAATTTCCACGAGGTTTCCAGGTGAGCGCGCACTTAGAAAAATTATTAGGTCAAATTGTCACATATGTAATGACATAATTTCCACGGGGATTCCAAGTAAACACACACTCAAAACAATTAGTGGGTCAAATTATCACACATATAATGGGACACTTTCTGCCCGTATCACCGATACGCCATTTTTCCGAACAGAACAGCTATAGAAGAACTACGCAATGGCGGAAAGTGCATCGCTAATTGGACAGTAGCTATAATATTATATTGTAGCAAGAGTCACTTCAATATTTGATTAAATTTGTACTCAATTCTCTGAGTGTCGATTACTAGCGAACAGTCGTTGCCGATAATGAAGGGAGGTTCTTAGCGGACAATTGCAGCCGGTAATAAATGACAAAAAAAAAACGTTTCTTTGAAGCCCTATGATCATTGTAAGTAATCGATGAACAATTCTAACTCATTAGTGATGTTTTATGAATAAAAGTAACCGGGATAGATAGATTAATTGTCGGCATTCGCTGCCGATAATAAAGTTTGGAGGATAATTGACTTTAGGTTATCGGTTGTCGTTCTAGTGTAGATTACCGGTGGACTTTCGGGGCATATTTATAAAATTCGGAATACATTCATTACACTATCGTCGGAGTACATTCATTACATTATCATCGTAGTACATTAATAGCATTCATACAAGAAATTTGGTTAAGAAATGAAGTTCATTGAAAAAAAATAATGTTTTTTTTGTTCATTAAAATTCTGCCTGAGCATTATGAGTATCCAGAAAGACATTCAATGATCATACTCGGCCTAGAAATTTGGGTTTTCGCAAGCTTATGGGCTCAAATTCTATAAAAATTAATGATTTTCTATTCCAAGCATCAAGTTCCTATCACAGTAAACAAATTCGTAGAGTTTCGAAGTTAATTCAAAATATGCGAAAGATATGATATCGAATGTCATTGGCTTTCCAAATCTTCTGTAATCTTGACATAATTGAAATTAATTTTATAGCGTCTGTTTGATGCGGCAATTAAAAAAAATAAATATCTATGAAAATACTTGTACCGATGTACAGTAAAATTATTTATTTCCAGTAACACTTCAATGTTATAAATATTCATACGGTTGCATGTTCAAGCTGTTTTTTTCCAGCATCGTATTCATTGTTTAAACAATTTCACCTCTGTTTAAGCAACGTGCTACTTTCCCAGCTACAGTTTCCATGTAATAATGCAAATATTATTGCTTACAATAAATTGTATTAAAATGATTAATAAAAATATATTATCAACACATTATTATCATATTAACTTAATATGGTGTATTATCATATTTTTGTAATATTATGTGTTATTATTAATGATAAATTTATTCATATTAAATTAATATGATTAATATGATGTATTATCATATTTTATTATTATTGTGCATTAATATTGATATATTTATGCAGATACGTGAGTCGCATCGACTGCGTGGACGCTGGCGTGAAGCAGCGGCTTGTAGCGCACCTCGGTCAGTGCGTGTCCGGACTGCAGTCCATGTCGCCCTCGAGTTTTGCCGCAATGGCCGGCGTCAGGCCTTCACATTTCAGGCCTCATTACCAGCAGTTCGAGGAACCTAAGGGCGGCCATGCCCAAGCCCTTCAGAATTTAATGCTTGCCAGAGCAGAGGCGGCCAGGAATGCAAGTTTGCCTCTGAACTTGCAGAACAAAAATTTTCATTCGCGCCTATCTCCACTCGACGATAAATTACCTGCAGCCACGCCGAATATTTCTCCTCAAATGATGCCTTCATCATTACCGGCTACTCCAATTTCTGCTAAATTGTCTCCTTCTTCATCGTCATCTTTGTCTCCCGATTCTGATAGTTTGTCGCCTCCGACTATGCCGAGCAAACCAGCTCCTCAGGCTATCCCATTAGTGCCAATCAAAATGCCAATCCGGCCATCACATCCAAGCATTCAACTCAAATTGGAAGAACCAGTATTGGGTCAATTGTTTTCAGGATCTAACCGCTCGGCATTTACGGCGGTTAAAACTCATATCCAATTAAATTCAGGAGAATCATTGGCTTCTGTGAAGGCCGGTGATGAATCTTCTACGTTTGTAAATACCAAACTCAAGTATATTCCTAAAGGCATCGTAGCACCAACAGCCCGTCGTTTAGTTCCGACTGTACAAAACGATCAAAATTTTACTATTCAAAAACGGCTTTCGTTACAGGCACCATTAAAAGAAGAACCACGAAGCAACTCTATTGTTTTAATAAATAAAGAACCTGTTATTGGAAGCATCAGTTCGTATAATTCTGGGTCCATCCATGCAAGAAATACATTGAGTTTGGACGGTGTTCAAACTTCTTCATCTCTGTATCGCAAACGAAGTTTGGACTCGCTTGTGGAGGAGAGCCAGCAGTATAAGAAGGTTAAAATTGAGCCCCAGGGTGAGTCTTCCAATAGCTTAAATTTCCCAGAGGCCAGATTAGCGATTAGGAATAATATTTTAATGCCTCAGCCCCAAGAAGCCGCACCAGCCGTGCCTCAGGAAGATAAGGATATGTGGAGGCCTTGGTGAAATCGTTTGAAAGGAAACATTATCTTCAAAATTATCTTTAGACAATTTTAAATCAACATTGCCACATTTATTTGTCATCAGGATTCACAGAATCTTTGTATTGTGTTAAATTAAAGACACCTGAATGTACAAAGGGACGTTTTAAGTTTTTTTTTTCAAGTTAGAACCAACGTGAGAGTAATAGGTGTAATTTATCAATAAAGTTAAATCAAAGAAATTTTAGTAAGGAATTTTATTATGGAATTGGTTTGGTTAAGCTACTCGTATTTTAAATCGTCGATATAAGAAGTTGAGTCTCATATAGTGACATTTTTATAATAGAAATTTCAGCTGAATAACCTTGAAATGAATGTATTTTATGGTATCTCAAATTAATTATTATGATGATTTTTTCTTAAAATTCGAATCTTGAATAGGCTGTTTTTTATTTTCTTGATTTCAAATTTTCGTGTGTAAAGTTTTTGGTAATACCAACTATTTTGAGTTTTTATAATACAAAAAAATTTTCCATGACCTAATAATAATTTGTTAAGTAATTCTATTCTGGTTCAACTATGCAAGTCTTCTTAAAACCGAATATCTTTTTATTTCTTGCTGAATTTCAATAATTTAATGGAAATTTCAGAACTGCTGACGAATTTTAAACTAGAAGTACGTAGCAAATATGAAATTTCGTAATTACTAGAGGGAAAATTCGAAATTTCTTTTAATGAACTCGTGAAAATGGGGAATTTTTGCATGAACGATCAGTAATAATTTACAGTATATCGGAAAATTTATGAACTGCGTACTAATAATAAAATGGCCAATAATAACAATTTACACAACTGTTGATGGTTTGTAAATTTTGTACACTTAATAACATACTTTCATTTGTTGGCTACAATAAATAGTATAATTTCGGTTTGATTGGTGAAGCTTTATTTAACGAAATGATATAACTAAAAAAATTTTGACTTTATTTTTGCTCTAGGATATTTTATTTGAGGATGGTTCTTAGTATTCTATGCCTATTGCTGAATAGCAACATAACCTTATATTTTTCGTGTTAACATAAGGATTTTAACGTTGAAACTATCGATAATGAGAGATTTGCCAAAATCTAAAAAATATAGTTCAATAATTAGTCTAATCGATAATTATATTAGGCAAGTATTATTAAATGAAAAGAGACAGTACAAAAATATTAGTACAGACAGTACAGTACAAAAATATTACTAAGTAATGAATGAGAATGCGTATTCGTTTTTAAATAGCAATAACTGAAATAGTTTAGGCTTGAAGAACAAGGCTCTTGAAATATGTTTGGTTTCATCTAAAATTCTACAAGATAACTTAGTGTGTGATAGTTACTATAATTAACATCGTTGCTAAGTTTTCTTCATTCTTAGACTTGAAATGCGATTTAAAATTTGCTAACCTGGACTTCAATTTGATCATCAGTTCGTACCCCATATTAATGTTTTACATTATTTACATCTCTATCATGAAAAAATGGTTTTAGCTTGTCTATTTTTTAATAAATAAACCCAATATTTGAGACATGATTCTTATTCTTTCGTTTCAGCAGAAGTTACATGAAGAAATAGTAAGTTGCTCTGTATTTCCAGTTTAATCTCCCAATCATCACTGACATCGCATGGCCAATGTGCGTGTAAACACTTTTCTTCATCTTTTTCTTACTATCATGATCTCCCGTCATTTATCATCGCCTAATGTGATGTCATTTATCATCATCGAATGTACATCATCGCCTTTGATGTACATTCACTCACTATGTTAATTATTCTGTGTATTAATTTACGTTATCTAATATTATAAATTTGTACAAAACATCGAAATAAATACGACAGTACCACTCGCTTATTTTCCTTAAGCCTTTTTTACCTGAATAAAAATTTTTACAACATATATTTGAGCATTTTTGATTATGAATTAATAATTTTCTTTTCTAAATGAGAATTAATTTAAAAGTTATCACTTCCAAAATAGTTTATGATAATCAATTCGTTCATCTAACTTCTTTCATTACACTATAAAAAAATTTTCTTTGCGAAAAAAATTCTTTTGAGTTGTTCATACAATTTTATGTCCACAGTTTGACCCACTTAATATTTCACTACATACAAATATTCATATATTTTTTATACATATGGATATTTCACTATATGTTGACAGGTCTCAATAGGGGCAGGATATGATTTTCACTATCCAAGTTAGAAGTAATGTTCTAGACTTCATTGCTATTTCCAGCCATTGAAACATAGACTCGCAATTTATTTGGTAAACAAATTTGACTCAAAGTCTTTTTCATTTCATTCGTGGGGATTTTATCTCCTAAATGGAAAAATTATTGCATTAATATCTCTCAATAAAATATAGGAGTTTCTGCCGAATTTGTTACATCATGCACACTTTCCTCCTGTGACCATAGCATTTGAAATAATAAATTACAAGTTTCACTTGCGATATACATATCTGATTAGCAAATATAATATGTCTTTACTTATGACTTCCACATAAAATTTAGAACTCGCGCTGATTCCCTTTACATATTGTCGAACAGTTCAATATTCAATGTTCCTCTTAAATTTAAAATTATTGTTGTTACATTCGAAAACTCGTTAATATATTATTATAAAATGCTAAACCTGCCTTTCGATCTACCAATGTCTTATAAAGAATTGTTCGATACCTCGAAAACTGTAATGCATTCTCTGGTCATTAAGTGTAAGCATTTAAACAAGCAAATTCTGCCATCCAATTTTATACATATATTTCACATCAACATTTAAAAAGATTGGAAAAAGTTGATTATCTTCAATAGAGAAATATAGAAATTTTTGTTCAGTTTTGAATTTTTCCATGAACTTACATGAATTTAAAAAAAATAGAGCTTTACCAATGTCGGAATACGGGAAATCCGACATCGAAGTTGGGGACGCGGAAAGCGCACATATAAAAAACCGCGTGCAACTGAACCAAATTTTCGCGTCCGTTGGCCCTGCTCACCGTAAAAATATATATTATTCATATATTAATATATTATAATATTATATTTAATATAAAATATATAATAATATAAATTATTATTCATATAGAATATGAATAATAAAATATTTGAACACTATGAAATAGTCTCAGATCTGTATTGGTCTTTATATTTTCGAATGACTAGTAATCAAGGGGAGAAAATATAGACGAAAAGTTTATAGACTAGTAAAGTGGAGAAAAATTCATATACAATTACAACAGCCTTTATGTTTTGATATTTTCATGCCAAAACAAAATCAGGAATCGAAAGTACGAGTTTGTGGCAAATTAGGAGCTTGATTGCCTTGAATTTTTCAGCTACCATTAACATGAATAATTAATTTCAATTTTTATCTAATTAAAATTGTTCCATATTGTTCATAAATGAAACTATAATGTTTTCTGGCCAATTCTCTAACAAAAAACGCTGGAAAATACTCACAGTTGAAAAAAATGAATTCAATACACGTATCCTGTATAATTTTAAAAAGTTTCATAATGTCTCAAGTTTTCGTTCTTTCCAGTGGCCCTTAATACGAAAACCAATTATTATTAGGTTGGAATGTTAAAAAATTGAGTTTCCAATCATTTTCATTAGCTCTACATTTTCATATTCGTCGTTTTCAAAAGGCATAATAAAAAATATGCTCTGAATCTAAGTGTCATCACTCGGAGAAATGATTGGGAATTTGTCTAAATAGTGATGTACTATCTTCTAGTCATTCTTGCCAAAAGTGCTCTGTGTCCAGTGCTTCAGGCTATAACGTCCGCTCGTACTGTGACCATGCAAGAAAGCGTCTCAGTATTTCGACATTATGATCCGTGTATTTTTCTGAAATACGATTTTTTAAATACGATTAGATCGCGCACATCTGCATTCATTTTAGGCGGCCTGGAACTTGTGCCGCCAAAACTGCCTCTAAACTTTTGTTTGTCCAACGGAGTTGAAAGTCTTCTTTCGGAACAGTAAGTGGACTGGCTGCCTAAGATGGCTCCCTGCTTCAAAACAATACCGAAAAAGAACAAACAAACTTGACTCACTTCAGTAAGAATAGTACGCAAATTGGGAGAAAACATCTTTGAGAGGATTGGTAAGGTGGATGGGGTTGATTAACATGAGAAGAAAATTAATTAAATGAAACTCAGTGATAATTAGTGACAATTTTTGCATTGAAACCTTAATAACTGAGTAAACGCTTTTGCCGCCAAGTGAAAAACCTTACTTTCTGTACTTAAATTATCGCTCGCAATGCTTTTCTTACCTGGACTGTACAGTGATTCATTTCCAGGCACGCAGATGCATTTGACTTCTCGCTCACAATACTTCCTCAAACCTCATTAAAAGTTAGCTTTTTGTGCTTGCCTTCTTCGGTCTATCAATGTTTTTATATTCGCCCTAATAAGTTATTAACAATGAGTTTTTACTCTCAAAATTTTTCATAATTAACTACAAATATTTTAACGTTCGCCGAAATGTTTCACTATTTTCGTAATTTTTAGCACGATTGTCACCTAATTGTATACTCATACATATTAAAAATTGCTTTGCACAAACAAATTTTTTCGTTATTCTAAAATCAATAGAACACCCGAAGATGTTCGTTTAATTCCCAGGAATAATTCATTACTAACCTTTCTCGCATAAACTTCAAAGGGGTCAGACTTCGTTGTGAAAACCTTCCATTTAAAAATATGCATGCATTCATCGAAGAGTCCTCAAAGGATCTCATTTCCATGTGTGATATTTTTGTAAGAGCTTCAATTGAGTTGGAAATCAGTCAAGTCGTCACTTAAAAAAACTTGTTTGTGTTTCCTGTTTGTTGGAACAATGGAGTGCGATAACCAGACCTCCCTTTGAAGGCAGAAGGGCTTTATATTTTGCGTCCAAAACGTAGCCGTTTCTTGCGTGCCATTTGAATGGAGTTCCTCAGGCTACCAGAAGTTCAGCAAAGCCTCTAAAACTTTTCATTGAAAAATTGCTGATAAAAATCATTTGAGTCGAAAGCCGAGGAAACGTTTTAGAATTGCTTGATTTTTCAGGCAGAAAGTTACATGTAGAAGTGGCATGGCAGAAATGGCATGGTAGAAGTGGCATGGCAGAAGTGGCATGCATGGCAGAAGTTAAAAGCTCAATCAGGTGCTGTGCAGCAGTCAATACTTCAAGGACTTGCCCACATTAATCAGTTGCATTAAATAATTGATCGTTACTTATACTTACGTCTGAGTGTTCATATCAATATTCTGGGTCTTGTTTGTATCATGTCAGCCGCATACTGAAAACAAAGCAAAATAAAACGAACTGCAGAAAATTCCTAATAGAGATGAGAGAGCAATAAGGAATTGTTGGTGCAATCAACACTTAGTAAGGAATTTGCACAATCGAAAGTAATTTAATATTTTCTTTTAAATCAATCAATCGAACTTCGGCGGAATTCGACTGATTTGAAGAACTTAGTTTCTCTAATCCATAAGCCAATCAGGCCTCATTTAATTATGTATATACCTATGTCCCAATAATGGAATCGCTACGATTAACGAACTTGAAATTTTAAAAAGTATCAACAATCTTGAATGAGGAAGGTTATTTTAAAATTTAGAGGAAATCAGTAGGGGTTGTTGAAAGTAGGACTAAGAAAAATAGGAAGAGGAGCAAGAGGTTCAATAATTGTGTTTGAAAAAGATGAGACTTGAAGTTAGACTCGAACAATCCGTGGCAGTATACATTATACAGCATGATCGGATTATACCCCTTCTATTTCTGCATGAAAATTTGGTATAAATTTCATATGAAGTAGTATTGCTTGGTCTGATTGAAGATCAAAGCTCTGAATAAAACTGATTTGAAGTATGAACATGTTTAAACAAATTTCAATAAATTTGAACCATCACAAGGTATCAGTGCCACCTCAGGGTCTGCCACAAAGTCCTGGTATCTCCTAGTTTACGTGATGTGATCGAAGTTCTACGCTGACTGTGGATTCACTTTCAATGTCTGTTGTTTGATTGAATTGGAATGTTAAAAATGATCCTTTGCTTAAATTAATGGGCTCAAGAAACGTGAATATTTGTGTAACGAATCATGGAAACTCCGTTCGAAATTTCCTTGTCGAACATTGTTCTCAGTTTGATCATACAGCATTGAGACCTGCGAACAAATCATGATTCGAAGGAATTATATTGGCACCATATTTAACAGAATCAAATTGCCCCTTACTTTGCCACTTCAGTATATAATTCTGCATTTAACATTTTTTAATCATGCGCAAGTGTTATCCTAATAGTTGTAGGGAGATACAACTAAATTTACGCAATTCAGTAGTCATTTTAACTCAGAAATGATCATCAGAGTTAAGAACGATTTTCAAGTTTTAAATTTACTTCCAAATGGTAACGTTTTTAAACCTTTCCTTGTAATTTAAAATGTAAACTTCAAATTATAGTCGAAAGGAAAACGAAACAAAACTTACGTTCAAAATGAACACATATTGAACGTAGTTGATTTTACAGCTGACAATATCGGCATGGACGAATTAATAATAAAATGTATTGGTTAGCGAGTCAGAAATACTATTTTTAAGAGTTCATTATGACATGCTATATCTTTGTAGTTTGTTTGCGTTTTCAAGCGTTCTTTTAATTAAAGAAAACGAAAATATTGAAAATATAGCTAGTAATTAGAACTCCAATGTTCAGCACTCAAGTGCGGTATTTGGGCAAGCAGATCTTATGAGAAGATATAACCTGATATGATACCTATGGGGGCATTTGTTGAAATAATCTTTTTATCCTGCCTAGATAAGTTATTATTATCATCCGAAAGATGTGCATAACGGATTTATGTTTGTTATAGCGTTCTAATATGTAAAAGATAAACATGCAATGATCTTATCAGGTATAATATAACAGTGAAGTATATGGAACTCAATAATATCATTGTAGTCACGCATATGTAGCCTCTCAAACCCGAGTCATATATAACCAATTTCAAAACTAGTTCCATACAATCATTGAGATTCTCTTCTATTTCCATTAACTCACGGAAACAAGTCCTAAAACATTAGCTTGCAATACGAGTACGAATCGTTAAATATGAAGAAGTTTCTTGACACGCATATAAATTAACTTCATCCAATTACATATTTAAATATTAATTTATAATTTTCTTAAATAAATAATAAATATTTTATGTCGAAATTTCATATATATTGCTAATTATTTCCCTCTCTGCAAGATACCATTTTAAATATTAAAAACAACTTGATATATAAAATTTTTATGCATGCGAAATAAATTACTTTACGTTAGCAACTTATTTCAATAGATGCATATTTACCACCCCTTTAATTATCCATAGACTCCGTAGTTTATAAAAAGTTTAAGTTTTGCCTCGATAAATTTTCGACCCTTAAAATGCCTTGTATTATAAAGGTTACCAGTTTTCATTCCCAAAGAAATAACTCGTTACAGCATCTCCGTTATGTATAAAATCAGAAATAAGTATTGGCTAATAAATTAATGGTCCAAATTACTTACTTATCTATTCTTCATCGATTCATTCATAATTTACTTAAATCATTACCATTCTTCATTCAATTATTGATTCAAACTCAACAAGATTCAATCTTAAATTTCAGGCTAAACTTGCCTAACGCGCATTTCATAACCACCGAGCTCAGAAGGATGAGACGTATAACCGCTGAGCTCAGAAGGATGAGACGTATAACCGCTGAGCTCAGATGGATGAGACGTATAACCGCTGAGCTCAGAAGGATGAGACGTAGCCGCAGTAGCAGAGCAGGAACAGGCCGTACGTCGCGAGGATGCCGTAGCCAAGATAGGCGCGCGCCCGCGGCATCCACTGACCGGGAGTGCCGTCCTCCGTGTCCACGATAGCGGACTTCTGCGTGACAGAGCACTGATAATAAATAGTTTGTATTTTGAATTTAAAGGTTCATTCATTTTTAGATTTGAAATACAAACTTTTTATTATTAAAGTACTACTACTACATTCATTCATGAATGTAGTAGTAGTACTTTAATAATAAAATTGCGATTGAACTATGAAAATATACAGGAGGGTAGATTTTTTAATTTGTTCTATGCTCACGATAAATTATTGGCTATTCTAAAAATTTTGGCTCTAAATTTTCTGTTTATGTTTATTTATACTTGTTATTCCAGCTTAATATTCTTTTCACTCTATTCACAATGAAATGAGCGTATGATAGAAAATATTATCATTTCGAATAAATTTATTATTATTGTGAGGCATAACTCATGCAATCGCTCGTTCGGTCATCGCTTACAGTCACAGAGTAGTTGCACAGAAGAACCTTGAGCAGCTGCAAGAAAACCGCAGCCAGCGAGAAGCCTGCGAGTAGAAAAGATACTGAACACGTCTACATTATAGCGGGGTAACGCAACTATTGGCAGCGCTTGAAACTCTGCGAGTGTACATGTGGTCGTTTGCCGCCGGAAACTGGAATAATTATAAAAATAAGGCGTTCTCCAAACGGGGCTAAATATAATAGTAGTTGTTTACTGATCTGGAGTGGAGGCTTAAACTATGATGATCATTGTAAGTACTACTACTACTGACTACTGACAACTGACTAGTATGTACTAATACTGACTTTCGCTCTAATTTCGTAAATAAATACCGTCAAAAAGTAATCTTCGATAAATTTTCAGCGTTCTGAACTTCACTTCTGGTTTGGAGGGTTAATGATTTAGGTACATATCATGAATTCAGGTTGACATCGTCCCGGTACCATATATGGCCACTCTAATACGGATTTCATTTAGCGTCAACCTCGCATTTTGAGGACCCGCAGGCAGAGACCTATGGATAGATATTTACGTAGCTTGTCTCTAACGCCACAAATGATCGAATGAACAATTCCGTTATATTGCAACTATCGCCAGGGCTTCATAAGGAAAATGCCAATATTGATTCTTGTAAAGGCATTACTTTGTTTCGCTATTGCAGCTTTAAGCTTTTTCCACTATTTCCTTGGTGTGATTGAATTCATGGAATAAAGACGTATTTATCTCTTAATAGTTATAGCATATGCAATGAATTAATTCTTTAGTAAAAACACGTAAACAATTCTTAAAAAAAAAAGAAAATGAAAAATGTCCAGCCATCACGCATTGCATCTAATGAACAGTTCTTTGCTCTAACAAAATTTAGAGTCGCCCCAGCTTCTGGTAATCCAAATCAGAAGCTGCGGCGTCTGTAAATTTTCCCTTGTTAGGCCCTTGTCAGACTGCATTATTCTATAGAACGTTAAAATCGTACATAGATAGATTAAAAAAAATTGTATCTATGCAATCCGACCAGAGTTAAATGTACCGCTCATATTGAATATAAAAAAAAAAACACTCGAACTTAATCCTGAGGAGAACCCTGCATATATCTCACCGAGGAAGACATCGATGGCCTTGGTGTACGCCACAACAGGTGCAGAGGTAGCGAAGTTTTGCGAGCCATGAAGGATCGCCAAGAAGCTGACGGTGACAAGCAAGAGTTTGGCAACAAACTCCGTCCTTGGGATGAATTCGCTGAGAAAGGCCAAGATGACGAGGCTGACAATGGGGATGTAGATGCTGCACAAGTAAGGGGAACTGGCACGCTTCACTTCGAGGTTGACCTTGATGCAGCTGTACGTTCCTGTTAATTGGAGGGCATATCCTATGAGACATAGAAACTGAATACTGATTTTATATGCATAAAACGTCATGGATATCAACGATACAATTCCGAATAGTCTTACCACTTTTGTCGAGGATATTCGTTCTAGCGGGTGTTGGAACATTAACGGGGAAAAAATACATTTTTCATAGAAATTTAAACGAAAATTGATCTCATCGATCCAAGTTTCCGAGAATTTTAAGCAAAAAGAGTCATTGGTACTAACCCGTTGAGGTCTTCGCATCACATCGGTCAGTTGTAAAGCCATTTATGAAGAAATTACGATACCCTACTGGCGTGAAACTGATGGCTCCTGGCGTTGTGTCAAAATTCAGATTCATTTCATCCGCTGTGAAGGCATCTGCGAGGAAACAGTTCGTTTCTTTATTGAAACATCGCAGACATATTTCGGCACCGCGAATTCCCAACAAACATATCGTACATAGCTAATTTTCCGACAGACAAATGTAATTTCTTTGTATATTGTGAAAAAACTTTAACGGATATGTTTTATCAGCAAACAAAATGAACAGTTAAAGCATTTTCAATACCTACTCCAGTCTATATCTGCTCCAGCTATAGCATGTACTGAATTTCAATGCTCTCATTAACATTGATGACAAAGTATATTTCTAAAGCTGCATGATTGTGTAAAATTGAGTTAGATTTTGGCTTTTTGAATAAATTATTGTTGAAAGAGGCTTACAGCTCTCAAGGTTGAGGCCACACGTTTGGGTGTCGTGTGGGTAGCCCTGGAAGTTCATTGGGCAAGCGAAGTCGACAGTCAAGCGCGTGCTGTACATCATGTTCGGAGCGCTTCTATGGTGGGTAAACATGAAGAATTGTGAGTTTTCATTCCTGAAAACCTCAAAATTTAAATTTGTACTAGAATTTTCATTTTTGTGGCATCATTATATAAAACCAAACTCAACAAAATTGAATTAAAACTGTTATCTTTGTATTGCTACATTCTATGGCGTAGTCATACGATGGCCTTGGAATACAGTAGGTACAACTTCTATAATACCCCAAGCGTGGCTGAATGTAGAATGCGTGCTAGCTGACTTAAATAAATTTAGAGCGCAGAGTGAGAGCTAATTTTTTTTAAATACTCATAAGTACTCTAGTATTTTAGAGGTCAACAAAATCGCAAGTTTTCGCAGCAAGCACTCCTACCCAGTGAAAATTTACAGTGGCGGCAGCTTCTGATTTGGATTACCAGAAGCTGGGGCGACTCTAAATTTTGTTAGGGTAGGGTTCACTCACTGATACACTCTGATGAAGGTCTGCGCCTTGACGGTCTTCTCGCGTCGCGTGTTGGAGCCTTGGGGGAAGAAGACGTCGGGTATCCAGGCAGCGTACACGTCGCTCAGCAGCGCCCAGTCGTCCGACATTATGGAGGGACTGGTCGTCCCTGACCCGAGAAACATGGTTTGTTATCACTGAAATTCCATAATAAAATACACGCTGATGAATAGTGAAAGTAAACGGGTTCAGTATTTGTAAATATTTTTGACAATTTTACTTTCATACTTAAACTGACTATTGTGCATTAAAATACAAAATTAAAAACTGATCTCCACTAGGGAAATGAAGATATTCTTATCTAATCAACAAAACATAAATAATACAAAGATTTCAACAGAATTTCCGGAAAATTAGTTGTATTTTCTGTTGCGTTGTAGCGGCCGAAGCTCCACAGACTATCGGTCTTCCGTACCCATTCGCTAGGATTAAGTATAAATTTCCCCGTATTTCTCATTTTACTGCTGATTGCTACAATAGTATGGTGAAATTTGGGCGCCTTAAGCGATGCTTCCACCTCCAGACGCTGCTACTTTACGATCAATACGTACGTATTTATTTCAGTGGCAAACGTTGGTATTTAAATGTTGTTTTCCCCATGGGCGAGTCGCCTCTGAAGCCAATTGGCTGAACTTCCCTTTTTTACGATACAATGCATTATTTTTATTTAGTGGATTGTCAATATCAATATTATTTCCTATCAAAATTTGGGTACGGCCTAGACTTCTGCCGAAGAATCGTTACACTTGGTTAAAATTATTCGCGGTCTGCTTGGCCACCAGATCGAAATCAGTTTCTGGACATAATCTCCCTTCCAATTTTATAGTCGCCTGAGAGTATGAGAAGAGTTGGCGAAGCCGAATCACACCAGTTGCAAGCTGCCAAAGGTTTCTTTTAAACCTAGAGTCGATGTGGACCGATTTATGTACTGCGGCTGATTTATCTCGCTCCCGTTTCCTAATCGGCACCTATTTCACAGGCGCGCCCGAATCTATATCTTGTTAAGGTTTACGATCGAGCTGAAAGTTCACTTCTAAACTGCCGGCTGACCAGGGTTGAGCCAGTTTTTTGAATGTTTGACTGTTATCTATGTATATTTCACACATTCAATTGTCATGTAGAACAGTAATGTTTTTTTTTCTTAAAATGACTTTTCAATGAAAACCAGTTTTGTGCCACGAGTATTACATTTCAATGAACTGCATTATAAGCGTCATATTTGCTGCCTTATTCTTGATAAAATATAGAATTTCCCAATCCCCAATATTTACATAGAGTACAGTTATACTCCCGAAACAACATACGTTTTGATTCCTTGAGTTCAGCTCACTTACGTGTAAATGGTATGCGTGGGTCATGCCACTTCATCCTGAAATACATGTCCACCGTCAGCACCTGGAAGCAGGACACAACGATGTATTGCTTGAATGCATCACGACGAAACTATATAGCTTTCTGGATACTTTGGACATGTTGATTGAGTTGGGTATATGATTGAGAATATTAGTGTATATTTACACTGCTACACAGAGATAATATTCCAAATCCAATCCTTACTTCCTAGCTCTTATGATTCCATCACTATAAATACATGCAGGCAATATACGTGCTCGAATAACATTAGACATTTAAAGACTCATACTTCAAACAAAAAGACAAACACGCGAATTTAAAAAAATATATATTATTGATTGTCTTTGATTTAGCCTTCAATAATCATAGATGGATGAATAAAAATATAATTAGACTGCGAGTGAAAATCAGTTTCCGTTTACTGCTTCACTTTACTCTCACCTGCGTTAAGTCGTTCACTTTGATATCCCGGAAGTACAACTGAATTTCAGTATTGACTGGGCCTAAAAGTAGGAAAAAATCATCAGCATTGTTATGTATTATGAAAGTATTAGATATGTTTGTGAAAAAGTTGTTCGAATACAGGAGAAACAAATGGATAACAATTGGACACCATTTGAAGAGAGAGATAGTGACAAAAAATGAACGATGTATTTCTTAATATTCTGAATTGCGTTATTTATATTTCGATGCCGCATCTTCATAAATTTTCTTTGATTTTCTTCAAACGAGAGTTAAGCCTTTCCAACGAGAGTTAAGAAATTTAAATTTATTTTTTTTTTATACACAGTTGAAGTCACTATATTCATTCTCAAATCCATAGAAAAACTCTTCCACCAAAAATTATGTACTGCTCACCGGAGGAGTTGGTGGGCATGACGTCCTTGTTGTAGTCCTGCGGCGAGCGGAGGATGGCAAGCAGCTCCTGCGTCAGGTCAGCGCGCGCCGCCCCCCACGCGAACCTGCTCGGTCACTGCTGCCTTCAGCTTTGTTGTTATAATAACTATTATTATTCCTTGAGCTGTGCTATTATTAGAACTATTATTATTCCTTGAGCTGTGCTATTATTAGAACTATTATTATTCCTTGAGCTGTGCTATTATAAGAACTATTATTATTCCTTGAGCTATGTTATTGTTAGAACTATTATTATTCCTTGAGCTATGTTATTGTTAGAACTATTATTATTCCTTGAGCTATGTTATTGTTAGAACTATTATTATTATTTTTTTTAACTATTATTATTCCTTGAGCTGTGCTATTATAATAACTAATATTATTCCTTGAGCTATGCTATTATTAGAACTATTATTATTATTTTTTTTAACTATTATTATTGCTTCAGCTGTGCTATTATAATAACTATTATTATTCCTTGAGCTATGCTATTATTATAACATTTAATAGTGTATTAATACACGATATTTTCTACCGTCATTATTTCGCTGTATATGTATCTATCAGAAACACAGATTGTTGAGAGCGTTTTGACGTATATCTTCCTATAGGATGAATGAAACGTTTAATTTGATGAAACCTTTTTACACTAATGAAACCTTTAAATTAATATTTTTAGACTACACGATAATTAAAATTCTCAATTAAGTTCTACTTTATTCCTCATCCTAAACCCAGCATAGATTCAAATTTGTATATCATTTGAAATATTTGTTGGCATGAACTACACATACAAATTTGTCTCTTTTAGAATGATTAAGATTGAAAGAGGGAAAGAACACAACGGCGGAAAGTTGGGCATGTCTAATGTCTACCTAAGATCAATGCTAAGTAGATAGATTTCTAGTGACTATTTTGTCACAATGTATAGTACATCATTAGTGACAATGAGTTTCAGTAGAAAGTAGAAAGACAAAATGGGTCTTATGTGCATTTGCTGGCTGCTTGGCGTGTGAGAAAACGGAGGTAATAACGAACTTTATAAATCTCGGAGCTTTCAGATATTCCCTTGAAAACAATTTACAAATATGGATATTTCAACAGAAATATATTATTCATCACCTGGGGAAATTGGGATTTATGTATCCAGTCCGTTATTTTAAAGTGGGAATATATTAACTCAGTTGATGCAATTTTGACGATTATCATTATTTGTAGTAGTATAGTAGTGTCGGCTTTGATGTATCAGTCACTGTGTACATGTTGATTGTATCGGCTCAGTTGAAGATCGTAATCGAAATATGAAAGAGACACGACCAGCTGTTCTTTATTATAGAATAAAAGAACAGAAATTCGTCCGAAACATTTCTCAGTCTACACAGATGTTTTAAGAACAACACTAGTTTCAAGTGCTGCATCCAAATTGGTCAGTATGGAAAGTTGCAAAATCATCTACATTGCATGAGCGGCAGAAATAGTGGTAGAGAAGGTAAAATTTATAGGGAATAAATATTACCTTTCCCGTTAATAGATTAATGCAAAATAACATCTTATGTCGCTGAAGATGCCGTCTCAAATCTAAGTTATATTGACGTGTAGATCATGCATTGAACCAGCTGGTTAATGGTTGAATTTCATATGATCTACTTAAATCGTTGTGCGACTTCTAAATCTTTGTTAGATTTTCACATGTTTCCAAATAAAATAAATGATTTATAATAAGCGTAAAGCCATGCATCACTGCACCGGAAGTTGCATAACAAGAGAGATGCGACGATGAGTTGCGGTATCACAGCCATCTTGGTTGTGGTATTGCAGCGACCTGTGGTGATCAGCACCTGTACAAGAAGAGATACAGATTTTATTTTTTCTAGATCTAGATTTTTGCTTACAATTTAAAATGATCTGTAATTAATACCACCTACATAATGAACAGTATCATTTATATTCTTCACGAGGATATTAATGGAGTTTAATTTATTTGGCAAAAGTTTCGGAAAGTAATGATGTCTATCGTTTGTCAAAATTCTAATGGAGGAATGAGTAAATAAGAAATACCAATTTATATATCTACGTTAGAACCACCAATCATAAATTTCAGAGGTAGACAAGCATTTGATAAAAGATACATAATGCAGTTTGTACGAAATGATTACAATCATGAGATACATATTAGGCAGGTTTTGGGACTGTTCGCAACTTTATAAGCTCGAGCCAGTTCCGTGTGTGCTTTTTCTTGGCCTAAGCAGAGTATGAAACAGGCATTGCAGCAATAAGTAAAATAGAATAATGCATCCTAGCACAATGCAGACTAAAGCATACCCTAACCTGTATGCAACAGCGAAAATTCAGCAATACTGGTATGCAACGCAGACTGCACCTTATAATCAGTACTAAGTTAAAGCACGATTCAATTGAGTCAATTCTAATACAATCGTACTGGATCAGTATGATTGCTTCACACAACAGGATGATGATGTGTTCTTTGTACTGCGCACAAGAGTGCAGAATGAACTACGCAGTTTAACATCACAGGATGTCAGAAATGACATAACGCAAGCAGCATCCCGGATGAACACCTGCAGATCTGGCGACTCCGTCCGCAATCCTGGTTTAATACAGCTGAAGGAAATTGTGTGATGTGATCATTACTTATAAACGAATTGGATCTTGTTGAGAATAAGCAACCCAGTATGACCTTGTTAAGACTAAGCACCGCAGTAAACTACTCAGACTAAGATTTTTAGCTTATCATTTGGGATATAATGTTTTGCAATGTATTTTTTACATTGAATTGTAGTTCTTACAAAAATGTTTAAATAGACCTAATTTGATTATATAATTCATTCAATTAACCTTGTTAAGAATATACACCTCATTAATGTTTTTGTTAAGAATACGCACCCCAGTAAGCACTCAGTAGCACCCCAGTCTCGGGTGCTTATTGCTAACAAGATCCAACGAATTTTATCTGAATTTTTGCTCTTGTTTATCATATAAATGCAGATCTTGCTTGCGAGTAACTTATTCTATTTGAATAGGTTTCCTGCAAAATGGCTGGCTCTTACCCAATAGGTGGTTTCTAATGGATCGTAAAAATTGACGAAATGAATGTTCACTTTTGGAAATCTCTAGAGTTGTTTACGCTCTTGTTGCGTCACTTGTAAAGTGCCAATTACATTTGGTGCTTTGTACAACAAGAAACGCCCAAACCGAGAACTGGATTCATCAACCTTGATTAAAGCTCCTATCTTTACAATGGCTTTAGTCTGAACGGAAGAATGCAGCAGCATGATATCTGGAAATCAACTGGCATTGTTTAAAAAAAACACAAAAATATTCAGGATTGTTTCTTGTTTTAGTCCGACATGCGGACACTTCAATAGACAACTGAAACGGTGACGCTTTTCGCCAAAAATATTTACTGGCTTAGTTTTTCTCCATGGATACTCAAATGAAATCTTTTTGGACATGCGCGTCATCTCTCTATAATCACTCATTCAGTATAACCTCACCTTCGTACATTCTGTTCATTGGTATTTTTACTATGGTACAGCAAGCTGCATGAAGCAGGTACAAGTGCGTACATCAATAATTTTAAACTACACCATCTAATTTGTTTTCTATGCCAAATATTTTCTGGTAAGAAACGTAAGTTTGATATAAATTTATCTACATTCTATATTTTGATATAGTCGGTGTGCCTATTTTTGTTAATTATAAGTACCGCCAAAAAAATCTAGAAAAATTTGAAGATTTGCTGGAAAATAAATTTTTCACTTGATATTTTTGAATTGACATGATATATTTCAAGTGCATTTATGATGCCTAGCTTGATTAAGAATTTTTTTCTGGTATAAAATTTATTTGAAACGGTGGTACTCTAGAGAAGAGACAACAGTTTCTGTGATTCATCATTCATATGATTGCAGTGTGACCTCACGTAGTACTTCCACCTTTAATAAAATTGGCAGAAATTTTATGATATGGAAAATTCTCGCTCGTCAATTTTTTGGCCTGTACAAGACATTTTGCAAAGATAATTAGTTTTGTTTCAAACTCTGGCTATCGTATTCAGGCATGATTTTATTTCGTGGTTCTCATTAAAATTGAAAATATAAGGTGTCTATGCTTATGAAAAATTCCAAATATTTACAACAATTTTAAATTTTGGTAATCGGAAATTTGACCATGGATGCTAACTTAGTTGTTAGATTTTATTTCTTTGAAAGTCTATCAATAACAAACGTTTTATATATGCAAATTATTTCTTCACTACTTGTACTACCATGTTGAAGCCGCATGAGACACGCCTTGGGACAGTGGTGGAGTTTTTACTTTAAATATTTTGAGGTTGGAAATTTCTAAGTGATTTTTTCAATAATGCATGAAAGCTCAATATTTTTCGCTAGGGTTGAGGAGGATTCATTTTACATAGTTACCTACCGTATTGATGATGAGGATAGACGACACTGAGGTATGAGGGAGAGAGACCCCGAATAGTAACTGTCCCGAGAATGGCATGACAACCCTCGCGGTTGTCCTCGACCTTCAAATATTACCCTCACAGCGCCACAGCAAATGCTAGCTGATTCCTGTCCTCCCTCGATTATTAACAAACTGTGATGCCTAAGCGTACTATAGTTTTATCGTTTGTATTAGGAATAATTGGCACGGGAAAAGACTTATCCTTCGAGGCAATCACCTCTCAATACTAGTTTGAAAAGCCGTCTTATATAGACGCAGTGAAAAATTGGGATGACTTATATAATATTACTGGCAGTCACCTTGGTATTAGTGCATATCTATTCCGCAATCGTAATCGACTTACTCTGTGGCTGAATCGTGAAAGAAACGACTTCTACTTCGCTTTCCTGTTCCGCGAAACTAATTCACTCTATTCTTAGCCTCTGTGTTTACTAGCTCAGGTACGCTAACAACTGAAACGAATCATTATTAAATTAGTTTCCTTTCAAGCATTACGGAATAAAAATATCAATGAATTTTTACTCGGCCGGAAACTTAATTTATGTATGAAAGTCACATATGGTTTCATGAACGAATAGGAAAAGTCATAGTTCATGATGGATAAACAGAAGCAAATGTGATTTGGAAATCAAAATTTTTAACTCCAATAAATTTTTTAAATACTCAGTCAGGCGAGATTTGTTAGCTTCAAAAATGAAATAAATGTACTCTAAGGGGAAGGAAGGATTTTAGTAGAATTTACAGACGAAATATTTTCACGAAGACGTTGAAAGGAAATGAGTTTTTTAATTAGCACGCTTCAGAAAAATTTTGGAGTGGGAGAACTCAAATTAGCGGCTCTGAAGGCTGCCAGAAGTTCGGTCTGTTCTGCGAGTGTTATTAAAAGTTCTGTGATGACGCCGACAAAGGGGGAAATTACACGAAACTTTCTTGTTAAGAGATTCAGGCTGAGCAATCCTTCGTGCAAGGCAGGAACAAAAAGTGAATGTCGGGTCAAAATTAAAATTCTTGCTCTGAAAGTGCCACATATGAAATTAGTGAAAACGGCTTTAAATTTATGAAAATTTTAATTCATTCCTCTTTTAGACGTTGCAGGTTTCCGAAAAAAAGTTGACATCCCAAACATATATCATGATTAATGTGTAAACATAAAGAATTGAATTCCATCCTATGTCTGTTTACAAACTGTTTTTATTTGAGGCTAATGCGAATCTTATAAGATCTTTTAAGAGGTAAGAATAAAGTAAGCAAAAAATAACGCATTTGTTGCATGTTCTTCAAATCCAGTCATATGTGGGAAGCTGGATCTAGAACGTAAAAATGTTGTCTGGCCCTTATTATTTGCACAATTTGCATCTCAGCACGCAACGCTCTCAGAATGAGAGGAAAATGTTTTTTTTCACTATTTCTGCGGGAAAATTGTGTTAAAATTTTGAATGTTACATTTAAATCTCAATTTCTGCGAACGGGGGCTTGAAACACGTTTATATCAGATGGTGTGAGTTGATTGGGATCGTTAATAAATGCAATGTCTGACTCGGATTGTTTTATCGATGGGAAAAAAATGTTTCAAAGAAATTGTTTTCAACCACGGGATTGTTAGAACGATTGACTCATAGGTCATCATAACTGAAATAATTCGAATTTCAAGGTCTCATGCGTATTTCCCGAAATTGGGTCATTAAAAATTTTCGCTACAAGATTATGCTCATGGTTATTGAAGTTGTAGTATCATATGGAATTACATATACGTATAAGTTAACATCATTATGAGATAATTACCAGGATAATAATTGAGATGACACGAGAAATGATTTTATTATGTAATCAAGCAATAATTAAAACAAAGAACATTTAATGCCCTGGATCAGCAAGTGAATTGAAGTATAGTGATATTTATCTGCCTCTGTATGGGTCATCCAACTTCTTCTTCATTTCCTTGTTTAAACTTAACATAACATAACATAACATAGTGATGTCGGCGCTGAAGTGTAGGCCTGATGTGGCCTGTCGCCGATTCTTTTCCTTTTCGTGCCTTGTTCATAGATCTAAACTCGTGTCATTTGACCGGATCTTTTCATGACTGACGATAGTTTGAAGTAGCTACTAGACTTCATAATATTGAAAAACAATGATTGGTGGTGGCTTTTGCCCAACGGAGCCTCGTGGCAAAGCTCATCTATCATTGATTCTTCACTAGTAAACACAAGATCTAGAATATTTGGGGTCTGTTTACCCCTAAAATGGGTTGGCTTGGTGATGTTCTGGATGATTAAAAATGAGTCTCGCAATAATACTTCATAATTTTTTTGATGTACTGTATGTATGTATGTAAAATAAAGCTAACCGATTACAATATGTAATAATGAAATATCTTGCAGCCAAAGAACTGTCGGCAAAATTCTGAAACACTTTGAATTTACTGTGTAATTCAGCCGTTAAAACAGTTACGGGTCCTCGCTTGCGGTGGAGCCTGAGCGTTTGATCTCTGATTGCTCATTAGCTTCTAATTATTTGCATTATTGGTACACATTATTGCAGGTCATCTCAACGAACGGCAGTACATTATTGCAGGTCATCTCAACGAACGGCAGTACATTATTGCAGGTCATCTCAACGAACGGCAGTACATTAT